GGCCCCTCCACCCCACAGGCTCTCTATCCTGGCCCCTCCACCCCACTGGCCCTCTATCCTGGCCCCTCCACCCCACAGGCTCTCTATCCTGGCCCTTCCACCCCACTGGCCCTCTATCCTGGCCCCTCCACCCCACCAGCTCTCTATCCTGGCCCTCCACCCCACAGGCTCTCTATCTTGGCCCCTCCACCCCACAGGCTCTCTATCCTGACCCCTCCACCCCACCAGGTCTCTATCCTGGCCCCTTTCACCTGCTCAAAGGAGGATTCTGCTCCATATCACATTGTTCCCCTTCTCTCATTCACTGAAACCTCATTCCTGGATGCACCCCTCACAAACCAAAAAGCTATCCTATTGCTACCCTTAAACATACAACCTCCACGACCCAAGTCCACCTTCAACTATTTAGATCCAGGCCTCTGCTCCCTTTGACATTAAATCCTCAGGGAACTCCGTTTGTCATCCTCCGCCTTCTCCCACCATGACCCACTCCAATCAGGCTTTGTCCCCAGCATTCCATCAGAACCCCTCCGGATGAACTTCAACAACACACACCCACCTCGCCAGATCCCTTCCCAATGCACATGTCAGTGAGCTGCACAGGACCCTGCCAGCCAGGCCGGCCTTCCTCCAGCCTAACACGGCCTTCCTCCAGCCTAACACGTACTGGGCACCTGGCGCTTCTGCGTCTCCCAGGTCTCTTTTCTCAGTCTTTTATTGGCTCCTCCAGGGCTTACTACTCGCTCCTCGTTGCTCCTTCAGGACTTCTCTTCCAGTGATTTTAATCAATAACCTTAAGTGCTGACAACTCCAGTCCTAGACAGAGTGGATACTCATACACGCAATTAATTACTCAACAGCTGCATTTGGAAGTCCACCTCAAAAGAACCCTTGATCTCACCTCATAAGCTGCTTTGCCCCTAGATTTCCTCATTTTAAGTCAAGGACACCATCGCTTGTCCAACAGTCTGTGGGACAATGAGGCCACCAGCGACAAAGCAGAAGACAGTGTGCATTATATTTCAAAGGCAGAACCTATAGTGTCTAGGTAGGGACTGATGCTTAGAAGGAGGGAACTAGCTGGGTGCAGAAATCAAAATGTAAAATTGAAAACATTTTTCATTAAGTTCCATGGTGACATGAACACGAAAAGGTAATTATTAAAGGGGATGGGGCAGCTCTGGGGGGGTCTAGTATTGGCTGAGGCTGCAGTTAATTGACTGAAACACTAATTGGTACACTGCTTTACAAAGGTGGGTCTGCTTAGCTCATTGTCTCTCGGCTGTCTTTACTGATATCCCCAAATTCTGTAGAACAACTGGGAGAGGAACGGAAAGGAAAACACTGGAACAAACAGCCAGATCAGCAATGCAAAATGACAGCAGTAAAATCCGAGACCAGGGGCCAAAGAGAGCCTCGGAACTCCAACAGGTCCGCGCTTCTGACTCCGGGGACAGACGTATTCTTTGTAGGATCTTATGTCTAAGTTTCTGTTTCTCTGAAAGACCCGGTTTTCTCTCCCAAAGGGACAGCGGGCAGACAGCCTCATCCTGAGGTGTCTGGCTGGATCCCACGCTAGGATCCCACTCTCCTCTTCCTGCCCTCACACAGATCTTAATTAAAAGGCCGCCCCCACTGTCACTTGCAGGTGGCGTTCCTTCAAGCCCCCTGGTCCCGTCGGCCTTGGGGCTCCATCTCCCGCCCTGACTCCAGGTAACGGATGAAAAGGAGGCCTAGGGCCAAGAGAACCTCTCAGCCGCTCTTCAGAGTAGGCTGCACAACTCCTCTTGAAAGTTTCTGGTTATTTTCGGGCCATCAGAGGCTAAAGAGGTCGCTTATGTCCACCACCCTGTCCTCCAAACCGCGTTTGTCGAATGACTGAAAAAGAGCTGGATCAACAAGTCGACCAGGTGACAGGTTCGAGACAAGCCCCGACTCGGGGCAGGCCCGGCGGGGCGAGGAGCCGGCACGCCGCTTCGGAACGACCCTCGGCCGGCCGCTCTCCTGCGGGCTGCGGGGCGGCCTGTGGGACCCGCAGCCCGCGCACCGAGCGAGCGACGCGGGCTCTCGGCTTCCCACCGCGCGCGCAGCGAGCAGCCTCTATTTTTAGCCCGAGTCGCCGCCCCACCCTCCGCTCCCGGCTGCGCAAGTTGGGCTCGGCGGGAGGACTTCCGTCCCCGTCCCCGTCCCCGGCGCAGGCTCCCGCCCCGACCCCGGCCCCGCGCCCGCCCCAG